ACGGCCTAGACTAACCTCACAGGCTTTCTGGGGCATGTTTCACACATACCTTTTCACAAGTTCGGTTGCCTGCCTTTCTAGCTTCAGCCAATTCGAAGTGAATGATGGGGAGCAGGAAAAGGCTCTCAGTGAAAACATTCTCTGTAATGTGGGGCGGAAAAGTCAAAGCTGCATCCCCATGGAAACGGTATTTTCATAATGATGACTTGACTCACTAAGAAAAATTAAATTCTATTTTTTACTTTTTGTATAATGTAGTAGGAAATTGAATGGCCTTAGAAAGATGCTTATAAGAGGCAAGCTCTGGTTATCATGGAAAAAACTGCTATATACACCTATTAAATATCTCCAGTGTGCTCCAAGGGTGAGAAAAGACACAACAACCCCCCTCTTTGCTCTACTGGTTTTTTGTTTTTGCTGTTGTTGTTGTTGTTTTTCCGTACCTCTCACTGCTAGAATACTTTAGATTTCTGTTGTTCTACTATTAAAAGAACTGAAGTCATCAACCTTATTTAAATGGTTTCAATGATACTCCAAGGTGCCTATGACAGAATTAAATAGGAGTTTTAATAATGAGTCAAAGGCAAAATGCATGAAAAAGAGTCCTCCCACTAAACCCAGAATTTCCATAGAGGATGATTTAAAGTAAAGTGAGTAGGTGAGAAATTGTTTCTGATTTCACTATTTCATTCTCTCACCTGTCAATATATTTTTAAGAGAAAGCATTTAAACTCCAACTTTGTAGAACAGTTTATTTCTTGAATACCATACAAATGATTACACAAGAAAGTTATGATATTAATTTTTATAAACAATTTCACATTTGCAGTGCTGAGATGTTATTTTTTTTATTGTCTAAATTGTATTAGATTTCTCAAGCCTTTTGGAATAAATGGCACTAAGAAGACCTAGCCATTGTATTTCTCAGATGAAAACGGGTTTCCACAATATTATTCACATTTTGTAAACAGCATCAGTGAACCTGCACATAAAAGGTTAAATGTTTGCAGACCATTCTTTTTTGCCTCAAAGATCAGAGACAAATTACTATTTTTATTTTGCATTCCCTTGATGAGGATAATGATAAACAGCTGTCACTTCAGTGCTTCGACTACAAAGGATCCTATTGCAATCCTGTAATTTAAACAAAGAAAAAATACATAGTCCTACACACTATACAGGCTGAAAAGAACACAACAGAGAATTTGGTTAGAATTGAGTTAAACTGTAGTTTCTCAGTTAAAAGAAAAATTCCATCTCTGTACATTTTCCTGCATTCATCAAAAGTGTGTTACAAGGGATGATTACTCCTTTCTGTTTAAATTCAGGAAGAAATATAATTTGCATTCTAAATTCTGTAATGCTCCATCATGTCACTTGGCATGTGACCAAGTGACTAACAGTATTTCCAAAAGGTAAAGAGAGTTTCAAATTGTTTTTACTAGTTATATTGGAGCACTTCTTTTTTCTTTAATATGGAGAATTAAACTGTTCAGTATCCTTCATTCACATTAACACTTTGCTTAAAATAATTGCATCTGGTTTCAAAAAGTGAAAGCCAAACCCTTCGCATATTTTGATATGCAAAAACTAATGCAAAGCTAAATGTTAAGAATAGTGTGTAATGGGAAAATTCAGCGTTTCCATATGAAATTGTGATTGATGATATAATTTCCTGGTGTTTCCTATTCCTGGAGGTGCTTTTTAATAAGTACTCTTCATTTTGCTTTTCTCTTCTGGTTCAGCCTTGTATTTTATTTTTTATTTTTGATAAATGACAGTCCTTTATTGGCATCATTGTAGAAACTTTTCATATTTTTTAACTTTTTCTCTGAAATTTAGATGTATAAAATGGATGTCTCGCTGTTTCAAAATATTTTTCTCTATTTTTTTATGCCTGGAAAGATAGAACGTGGTTTACCATTGCATTTGTTTTACATTTACTGAGCAGACTTCAGTTCAGATTCTTACCAGGTCCCTCCATACATTGACAATAACAATAACATTGACAATAACCACAATAAAATCGTGGTACAGATTTTAGATATGCCTAAGGTAGTACCCAGACCTGCGCACAGCACCCAGCACCTACTATGCTAACAGCTGTTGCTGAGAGGTAGTAAGTTGAGGTTGAAGCACCATCACTCCCCTCTGTTAAATATAATAGCAAATAAAGTGGGTAGGTGCAGCGGAATTGTTATTATCGAGGTGTATGCTGCATTATATTAAAGATGTTCACAAATCTGTAGGGCGTCTGTTCTCACTATATATATAATTTCATAATTACCTTATCCTCACTGTTATTAAGCAGTAGTGGATCCTAACTCAGTAACTTGAGATTTCTTGGTCTCCAGTTTTTCTAACATGTAGACTCTCTTAGAGACTCTGAAATTCACTGAAGTAGCTTCCTTGATTTAGGTAACTCTTTTGTATGGTTTTCTAGTATTAGCTTTTCCTTTGCATGGTACTCTGTGCGAGGTGCTGAGAGGGGCACAATAAACAGGACCCCAGAGTCTAATAGAGAGAGAAGCATAGAAATAAGCTGAATATTAGATAGAAAAGGTGAGTGCTGTACACAGCTGAAGGCAGAGGGGGAAAGGAGAGTTGAGAGCCATTGGGAGCTTATCTAGAAGAAACGGGGAGCAGGGTTTGAAAGGTGAAGGGTTTTCCCATGTAGGAGGAGGAGATTCCAGATAAGAGGAATTGCTTGCAGAAAACATGGCAGTATAAATATAAATGTATATATTGGCATTTTTGTACTGCTTGAATTTACTTTTGCTGACATTTTTCATCTTAAATTTTCATAATGCATACTGAGAGTCAAGCAGCTCATTTTTATCCTATAAGTGGTAAGAAAAGAAGGAAAGAAATTAACATCTATTGTACCTACAGAACCTTTGGCTAAGTCACTTCATGCGTATTTCTTATTTAGCTGCTACAAGTTAAACTGGTAAGGGTAAGCTGATTTTTTTTTAATTATTATTTATTTTTGCACACAAGAACTGGGGTGCAGACCAGAGTTGCAGGGGGATAAGAGGATTCACTAGAGACGGAAAGAAAAACAGAACAGGCAGATCGACTGAAATATACTGCAGAGGGGAGCAGCAGGTGGGTCAGGGGAAGTCTTCCATGCCATGTGGGTCAGCTCAAATCCCTGGCCAGGGATCGAACTTGCACCATAGTGGCTACTGATTGCCTCATAATGCTGCACTTCAACCCCTTCTACCACCAGGGAGGGCCCAGGGTAAGCTGACTTTAAAGATGGGAAAGCTGAATCTCAGCTACCACAAGTAACTGAAACGTAAGCACGGGACCAGTAGTACATGAGAGAACCTGAATCAAACCTAAAGTTTTCACTTTCAAATACTCTTAATATGACATTGTAGTTACTACTGATTCTTAGAATTTGGGATAAGGGAAGAGCATATTTTCAGTAGTTGTTACATCCTGGAGAGAATTGTGAGGATATGATTGATTTTTTCACTACCATGGCTGACCTTGCTCTATACGTCCCCACTTTAAGGCCTCAGGTTTTTTTTGGTCTGTCTACTCATCATGATCTATTGCACTTATGTTACAAATTCATTTAAAAAAAACTGCATAAGATGTGAATTAATTCTTCCAGTGGCCAAATTCCATTTTACAAGAAATGATATGAGAAACATTGTCATTTTTTTAAACTTCCACTTCTCTTGCTGTAGTGCCAGTAAGATGCCCTGGAAACATCTTCAAACTATAACCTTAAGCATGGCATCATATTCAGGATTGGAAAATGACTATTGTTTTTTAAAACATAGCATATATTTGTTTAATATTTTAAAAGAAATATGTCGGAATAAATTATACAAATAGCCTATAAAAATGAGTAGAAATAATTTCTTTGTTATTGTTAGTACAAGTACAAATATGCATATTTTGACTCAAAGGAAAGTTTGTCATCTATGGATCTATTTAAACTATTTAGCACAGTGCTTTGCCTAGAACTGGCTGGATGATTGAAAACCTGGCAGATCAAAGTATGTACATTTCCAAAGAAAAATACTTCATGTCCACATTGGAAGCAATAAATTATTTCCTTTTTTTTTGCATTCATAATTAAATCTTTCCAAATGCTAGAAAGTAGCTAGACCACTAACAATATTTGTATCATGTTCTGGGGTTTAGATGGTTCAACCTGACTTGAAATGGAGACCATTTGTTCTAAATTGATTTCAATGCCAAGCCAATAGGTCAGCCCTTAATGATGAAGATGCCATTCCAGCCCAGTCTCTGGTGGATAAGCCAAAATTAATTAACTCAAATCCCATAGTATAGAAAACAGATGCTTCTCTCATGTTGCACAAATAAATTCTTTGTGTATAGATGTGTTCTGTTTTAGTCAAAGAATAACAAGTTAGAAGTTTAAATTGTAAGTAAGTTTTTCACAATGGAGCCAGCCTTTGGTAGTGATGACAGAGCATGAATTTACATAACAAATTCCAGCAAGTGCATGGAAAAATGAATTATCCTCTATATCTCTTATTTTGGCTCCAGACCAGGCCTAGGAGATTTAGTGTTAAATCTGGGTTGATCCAAATTCTGATCCATTCCAGAGCAGACCTAGGAGTTTCAGAATAACACCAAGGTTATTTCTAATCTATAGAATCCCTAGAGACTCCTCCCAAAGGTTTACATCTGCATCATATGTTTGGATTCGTTCTTTGGCTAGCTTGCAAATGGCTCGGGATTAGATTGTTCTCTAGAGTTATGTTGTTAGGTGCATTGTTTATCTGGCTATCCATTTCAACATTCATTAATATCAGAATACTTGCTTTTCCTAGAAAAGTAAGTAGCATAATAATTGCATTGTTCCACTCTCCTTTCAGAATTAATGGATATGCAGTAAGATAGAGATATTCCTGTTTAGAAAAGCAAATATACACAAATGAAGTTGATCATCTGATATTTTTTTCTTTCTGCACAAGTAAGAGATAATCTATGTTTTCTTTTCTTTCTGTTAGACTGACAATGATGAAAATGGCCAAGCAGAAAACTTTTCCATGGACCCACAATTGGAGAGGCAAGTGGAGACCATTCGCAACCTCGTAGACTCATACATGTCTATCATCAACAAGTGTATCCGAGATCTGATTCCAAAAACGATAATGCACCTTATGATCAATAATGTAAGTGACCATAAACTTTCTTCTGTCAGCCTCTAACCCATCCAGTACAGAAACTTCTCACAGTTTTTTTGTGATACTTTCTGATGGCTGAAATACTTATTAGCCTCGTTCAGTATTTACCAAGTAAGTAACCAGTGGAAGAGAACCCAGGATAGAAAACAAAACTTGAAGCTGCAATGTTGGCTATATCCTTTAGAAAATTGTGGATTTATTTACAATGAAGCAAAGAAAAGTGCTGTAGCTAAGGTCAGGGTATAAATTACTTGTAAAGCCAGTCATAAAACCAGATGCTCTGGTTCCTAGACCTTGAGATAAAAGGCAAAAACATACATTTTCTAAAGAGAGAGGGAGATTAATATGTTGATTTTCATCTTTTAAAAACTATAAATGCTGTTTACACCTGGAGAAGGTCTTCCCATCCTATCTCTTTAGATACTAAGTCAGTCAAATTTGCTTTTCTAAGATAAGGATGATGTAACCACAAATCTCAAAAAGGATCCTGCTGCACTACCCCATCAATTTGCCTATGTCAGATTTCTCCCTTTTCATGGTTATTTTTATAGTAATAAGAATATGACACTGAAACTGTGTGGCCCAGTTTGGTTCTTCTGCTCACTACTTGATTGAAGTATGAAATTACCTTTTAGATAAGCTAATCTATAAACGGATGTTTTATTGCAGTTTTTTCTGAATCTTGAAAAGTGTAATGCCAACAATTTTAGTCCTTAGTTACATTCTAAGGACATCTTGTTATTGAAGTTAATGATTTAATGATTTGATATAAGCATTTACTTGTACCAAGTAAAGTTAAATAGCACAGTACTAAAAGAACCTCACAGTAGAAATCAGGAGAAACCCAGATTCCAAACATAGTTCTGCTATAGTTGCCACTTAATTTAATTGAATCTACTCCTCCATATATGAAATACTAATCATACAAAATGTGCCTGGCTTAGGGATCCATTCCAGATGAGACTAAATAAAGTACATAAATACTATGAAAATATAAGTGTAGGAGCCTAATATAACTTACTTAAAAGCTACAAATAGCCTTTATCCATATTTCAAGATTCCTTTCAAAAATGCATTTCTAAATGTAATAGTCCATTTGTTGTTCATGGTATATGAACTCCTTGACTATAAAAAGTCCCAAGCACTTATGTGGATAATTTTGTTTGTATTTAGTTCTATATTCATAAACATTTTGTGTAGGGAAACAAAGTAAGTAAATAAGAATATGTTAAAGTACGAGCAGCAAGAAAACAATATATTGGGAATTGTATTTTAAGTTTTTGCTGGGTGACCTCAAGCAAATCACCTAGCCCCTTTCTGAGTTGAAGTCATTCACGTCTAAAACTACAGTGAGAACACTGAGCTGCCTCACAGGATTGTCAGAACATAATAAATGTGACTCTGTGCCATTTTGAAAAATATAAAGTACTAAACAAATAGTCTGTGTATTTTTAAAATTACCCTCTTAACTTTACTTAAATAAGTTCAGGTTGTTTTCCCGTGGTGTATCCAGGCACTTGCTTATTTAAACATTTTCCTGATTAAGTATCATTTATCTTTTCACTGTTTTACGGAGAGTCATTAGTGCTGCCATCAGTTCAAACGTTGCTTTGCTCTGCACTACATTAAATCATCAGCACAGGAAATAGCACTTCCTGTCTGTAGCTGTGAGGAGTAGCCTGACACAAATTAGTTAAAGGGGGTGGGGGGACCCTATTGCAAATTTAGCCTACTTTCACCTTCTCAGAAAGGTGGGGGTAATTCCCCTCAGTCTCACTGTTAATGCTTGTTTGATAACAAAATGGTCAACCTCCCACCTACGGGGCTCATTCATGGAGGTAGAGTTCTGTTCGTTGTCTTGAGACCTCACGTAAGAGTCCTAGAAAGAAGACTACAATTAAGAAAGACCTGATCTCCAAGGTCAAACCTTGAAGCAGAGTCTACTAGGAATGTGGAAAAGCAAAAACAGCAGGCAGTGCTGCTTTCTTATGAAACTAATAGTTACATGTTCGAAATGTAGAGTGTCAACTCTAAGAGAAAATAGTTTTACATCTTTAGAATGACCTGGGTTTGCTTTTGTTTTTAGTATTATTTTTTAATACTAATATGTAAAAATATATATAGTTACACGTTTTAATTTATGTATGTTAAAATATAGGTCCCTTTTTAGAAATGCACTCACTTTGTGGTAGCACCTACTTGCCCAGACGTCTGAGTCCTTTTTAGATATTCCAGAAGTACCCTATGGAGTACAGGGATCTAAAACAGTGAACACCGAACATAGTGTCATTCTTGTATGTTGCTCATTGTTAGTGTTATTATTATTGTTGTTGTTATTTGATTTAAAGTGATCTTCAAGTAAGAGAATTAATCATTGAACTGCAGCTAGAAAATGAATACCTTGACTCCGTTCTAAATTCCACCCACTTAACCCCACTGCTTCCATAAATGGCTTTGAGTGAAAAAGCTAGTTGTTCATGCAGAACCAATAAATACCTAAAAGGGGACCCTCTATTTCTAGCCTATCAAAAGTGATGCTGTAGCAATTTCTCTTTGAAATAGGAATGGCTATTCTGCCTTCTGAAAAAGAATACGTTTCAGCCAACTTTCATAAAGTTCAGAATTTGGTGGGCAGTTTCCTTTGAAAGTTTACATTAAGTGTTCTGCCACTCAAGTCTCCATATGGAATTGTTTAAGAAGTTTAAAGCCAGCAATAAATGCCTTGCCTCAGACATACTGTAAGCCTTTGTCTATTGAAACGCAGCAGCTGTTTCATTGCTTAAACATACCAGGTAACAGCGGCACAAAGAAATAGCAAGTTTATGACAGGCAGGCATTCTGGACCGGCTACAGTCAAAGCAGCAAGTTGTGTTCAGGACTTCAGAGTTAACACACACAAAAACACCCCAGGGCAAGGATGATGATGGCCTCTTCTCTGTGGCTCGCCCAGCAGAGGTTCTCCATCAGACTATCATGAAAGTGGTTCCAGCTTTACCCAAAAGTGTGGCAGCAAAGTGGCACATAATTCTGTGCTTCAACCCATGGCCAACCACCAGTTAGAGTCCTCATTATTTTCCCAGAATTTAAATGAAAAATGGAAGCAGTGAAGAGTAAAGTGATTCTCCTAAGATCACACAGCTGGGGTGACCGAGTCAAGGTTAAAATCCAGTCCTCTCATTCACTGATATTCTCTCCATTCCACCTCAGATAATGCATAAGCCAGGATTAGGAAACTATGTCAGCCTTCTCAAACGAGGGGCTCCTGCCCCCCATAGGGTAGACCTCTGGTGGACCGTCCCTGAGGGTTCATTTACTTGAAGACTTCATTAGGGCTTGTTTGAATGTACAAAATACTGTTGTAAATCTTAAGCAGTGAGTTATTTAAAACATTGCTCTTCATATTCAAACAAACCCAGATAATAGGAAATAAAATATAAAACATTTTTATGGAACTTTTTCAGAAATGAATATGAAACCTAGAGGCATTTCACACTTGGACTATGCGCTGCTGCCTGAACCCCCTTCCCCTGGAGGCCAAACTCACTCTCCTTGGTCAGTGGCACTTTGGAAAATTAGTAACATGTGCCTGAGTTTCAAGACTTACTGTAACTTTAATGTGTGTGAAGCCAGGGTGTTATTTTAAATGTTCATTATTGGTGAGGAGAGTCTGTCTTAAATACCAGATTGTGGATTTGTTTCCATGGGTCAAGAATTCAGCCTTCTGCCCAAGAAACAGATCATGACCAGAATCCCAGACGCCCCCCCTCTTGCTCCCGCCAGCCCCCACTTCTCCCCACCAAGGGGAACACCCCTGATTTCTCACACCATAGATTAGTTCCGTCTGTTTTCGTCTTGGGAATCCTACAGTATATGCTCTCTGTTGTGCCTGTTTGCTCGATGTTAACGTTTGTGAGTCAAAGGATGTTCCTTTTTCAAGAAGAGAATCTTTGTCCAAAACTATGCCCCTGGGAAAAGGAACAGAGGATTAAGTAGGTATGGGAGAACAATGAGAAATACGAGAATGGAAATTAGAACTGGAAGCCCCTCTACAAAATGAAGCAAGTTTAAACTGCAGTTCTGTTTGTGTCCTTCACGTAAATGAGACCGATCACTGTGTTCCATACGATAGCCCTCCAGCAGAAATTGACTTTAAAGAAATGCTTTCCTTAGTAACTGAGCTGTATGCAAACTCTAGAAATGGCTCTTCTGTTTGAGAGACTGCAAAATAGTCTCAATAATAAAGACAAAGAAGGCTTAAGATCCAGGAAGATTACAGATTGCTAGAGAAGGGTTAAACTAAGAAAGAGGAAAACATGTGGAACGCTTTTAATGACCTCACATTCCTTTACACTGAGCAGAACGACATGGTGCAGCCATGCCTGTTTATCTAGCTGAAGCGTTTCAACTGGAATGAGATTTTGTGTGTGAAAACTTTTTTTGCAAACCATATAAAGATGTATAGGGTATAAGGTGTTATAATTAAAAGCATAAATATTATTTCAAATCTCACATCCAAGTATATTTAGTTTATGTAATGTCCTATGAGATATTTTCTAAATGCTATCATATAAAAGGGATCCACTTGGCCTCTAATTGTCGCACAGAATCCTTGATTTAAATATTTGGACCACTGATATACAAACTGCTCAGAAAGTCCCTGAAGTGTCTGGAAATTCCCCAGAGTCCCTTCCCCTCCCCCCACCTTTGTTCCAAACTGCAGTGGTAGCATCACAAAGCCAGGAGAGCAACAGCAGAAGAAAGTCTTTCTAAAATCTACATGCAAAATAAAATGTTAGTCTACATGCTACATGGAGCTCTGTCACTTGATGCCTGTGTTCCTGCAGTATGTGATCTTCCTCTACATGCCCAATGACAGCTCAGCTTATAGATTGTAAAAATAATAGCTTTTGTTTACTGAGCCCTAACTAAAGGTGAGGCCTTGTGCTAGATGATTAATTTTCATGCGTTCATTTAATCCTCACAACTCTTCAGGCAATCACTACTGTTCTCTTCATTTCACAGATCAGGAACCCCAGACTCCAGAGAGTTTGTTACTTGCCCAAAAACAATAAGTGTTACAGCTAGGATGCAAATTCAGAAGTGTCTGATTCCAAAGCATCTGCTCTTAACCACAGCACTGTATTGCTATTTCTCTCATGCTAATAATACTCATATTATTTCAGAACATTGCCAAATCTTTTGGATGGTAGGCAAGTTTTAGTGTGTAACACTCTGATGTGGAAGAGTTGATTCAAGGCAGATCTTTGATCAGAATGCTGAAACAGGCCTTTATTATTTTATTTCGTGGTTTGTTTGACAATTGCTTCTTAATTCAGATCTGCTTTAAATCTATTCTTGGAAAGATCTTCTTTTAAATTGTGTTTAATAGATTCTAAGTGATACTCCAGTAAGATGTAAAGCTTCTAAAGAGCTTAGCCCCACTGATAATCACTGCCAGGAAAATTGTCTGGTTTTGAATTTGAGTTCACCATTTATCCAAATGCACATACACACACACAACATTGGATTTGTACAAATGTCCATGACTCCTTGGTTATGTACAAGTGTGTGCAGAAATGCACAAAATTGTGAGGACAGGAATGAATCATTCTTTACGTCAGATTTACTAACTTTCCATTAAATCTGTAGATTCATAAAAAAATCTTTATCTTTTTTTCTTGACTTTTTATTTTTTGTGCTTCTACTTACCCAAACCTCAATACTTGAGGTGTCTGATTGTTCCTCTCTTTCTTGCCCTTCACATTAAAACAGCACCAAGGCCAGCTGATATTTTCTTCATAACATCATCTTTATGTTCCCACCTTTTCCCATTCCATCGAAACCTTTTTAAATACTTTACACCTCATTAAATGATTTACAATCATCTCTTAATAGATTTATCTCTACTGTCTATGGCCATACCACCCTGAATGTGCCCAACCTCGACTAATCTCAGAAGCTAAGCAGGGTCAGGACTGGTTAGTACTTGAATGGGAGATTTATCTCTACAACCACATTTTCTCTATCACAGCCAGATTCACTTTATTAAAGCTCTTTTATTGTTTCATTTATTTGGGTCTCCATGACTTCTCATTGCCAAGAGGATCAAGTTCAAACACTTTTCCTGGCTTTTCAAGATTTCACCCCTGGCCCCAGGTTACCTGGCCAAATGTACCTTCCAACATCTACTGCTCAGAAACCATCCACTTGTCCAGAATATACCCCAAATACACCTTTATACTGGATTACTTCCATATTTGAATCCCTCTTGGTTTACAACACACATGAAAACTTTTGCTTCTTATTCTTCCTCAATGAGGCTGTGATTTAGCTGAGCCTTTATGATAAGTGGAATTATTAACATGTTTTGATACTTTAAAAAAAACAGAGCTATGTGTTTTCTTGTCATCTCTGAGTTATAAATTTAGTTACAACCCAGGAAATTTGAGCATCTGAGAGGTATTCTGTTATCTGTCTGAATTTGTAACAAGCATGCTTGTCTTTGGCTTTCTTCAAGACAGCCAATAACTTTACACAAGTATTAGTTTTCTCATTTAACAGAAAACCTGAAAAAGCAAAGATGGTGTGTATCTTCCAGGCTTAAGTTCATTGGTAAACTTGCTGCATCACTGTGAGATAATGGAGAAACTGTCTCTTCTAAGCTTGCAATCAAAGTGAAGTCATGAGGTAATAAAAAAGCTTTAGATGTCAAGACAAAAGACTTCAAGTTAGCTGTCTGAATTTGGACATGTTACTTAAACTCTCTGAACTTGAGTTTCTTTATCTGTAAAATTAGATAATAATGTGTTTCATATGTATGAGTTGAGAATTAAGGCATATAACTTGTGAAAGCACTAGGAACATACTATATTCCATTGATTTTCAGATTTCCTTTTAATATTTAATGCTTTCTGAAGTGATGATACATCTGATGCTCACTGGTACCTGGGCATTCTGTCACTATTGAGTTGAAGGTTTTTTTTTTCTCTTAATTGCACATCATATCATCATGTGTCATGAAATCAATGTCTGGACTGGATGAAATAAGGCCTTCTCCCTCAGTCCTGCTATGGCTGGCTTCTCCCCTAAGACCTGTAGATATTACCACTTCAGTTTGGGTTTAGACCTGTTAATGAATGATGTTCATCATTATTAAGTAGTTCCTATTGCAATTTTTTAGAAAGCAGAGAGTACATCACTTTCCTTTTGATAAATCAACTTGCATAATTATATAAAGTTCTGTATTTTAAAAATATTTACTTACTGGTGTTAATTCCAGTTTTGAGGTACATTGAAAGCTAAAGTGATAACAATACTCCAGTGGCTTTGATAAAGGACTGGGAATTCCAAGGAGTGGATCACATAGTGTAACACAGTCTTTTTCCTGTCGTGATCACCTCAGGACCTTCCCTTGTCTGTAAGCCAAGCAGTCTCAGGTGACAGTGTGGAAATGCTTGCAGTCAACATGCCCTGTTCTGGTGTTAGCAGGGATGGGCACTTTTTTTTAATGAATCCATATTATCCTTCAGTGTCCATATCCACACTGGCATTAGTACTGAGGGTCAGGAGGATAATAAAGAAAACAAGAGTAAACAGATGGAATTTTTTGGACTTTGTCCACAGACTCTGAACCAGTTTATACCATTCACTCCCACTTTTACATTTCTGTGGCTTTCTGACAGGTTAAAGACTTCATAAATTCAGAGCTCCTAGCACAGTTGTATTCTTCAGAGGACCAAAATACTCTGATGGAGGAATCTGCTGAGCAGGCTCAGCGCAGAGATGAGATGCTGCGAATGTACCAAGCCCTGAAAGAAGCCCTTGTGATCATTGGTGATATCAACACAGCCACCAGCTTCACCCCTGCACCGCCTCCTGTGGATGACTCCTGGATACAGCACACCCGCAGGTAGGAGGAAGGACTCCAGGCTGTCAAGTCTTGTTTTCTAAACATGTATCTCTACACCAGTATCAACCTAAAGAAAAATGAGGAGGGGGAAAGATACTTAAGTTCAGGTATTAAAGAAAATCATATGATCCCAACTCCCTTCAAAGACAAGCAACCACAGTCTACCAGTAGAATGTTATACAGCTGTTAAAAAGGAACACAGCCACTTCAGCATGAGTTCAATTCCCAACCCAAAAGTGATCCACATGACATGGAAGACCTCTCCTGACTTGCCTGCTGCTCCCCTAAGCAGTGTACTTTGTAGATCTGCCTATTCTGCCCCCTACTCTGTCTCTGGTGAATCCACTCACCCACCACAGTTCTGCCCTGTACCTCAGTTCTGTACACAAAAATAAATAAATCTTTAAAAAAAAAAAAAAGGAACCTAGGTGTATGGGCCTCCCTAGTGGTGCAAGGGATTCAGATGCAACACATGAAGCTCTACAGCCACTGCAGCATGAGTTCATCCCCAGTCAGCGAGCTGATCCACATGGCACAGCAGACCTCTCCTATCTCAACTCTGCTTCCCTCAACAGTCTTATTTTAGTCCATCTGCCATTCTGCTCCCCACTCTGTCTCTGGTGAATACTCTCACCCCACCCCACACACACCTCTGGTCTGTACCCCTGCTCTTGTTTGCATAAATAAAGCTTTGCAAAAAAAGGAACATTAGTCTATAAGTACCGAAATGAAGAGATAGTCAAGTAATGTGAAGGTTAAAAAGAGCGTGATATGGGATGCTATGTTGTACTGTGTACAAAATGAGTAATAGAGGGAAGTACTGTAAAACAGATTTAAAGAGGCTACACAAGAAACCACCTTGGTTATTGACACAGAGAGGAATGGGGGAGGGAAAGTTCCGTTGACCATTTATCCTTTAGTACCTTTAAACTTCTGTAATATGTATCTGGGTTACTTCATCAAAAACTAAATTTAAAAAAGCAGCCAGGAAGTTATCAAATATGTGGCTACAGATTACTTCAGACATAAAGCAGGGAAGGGCAAACCATTGTTGGTCTCTTTCCCCAGGTCACCCCCTCCAAGTCCCACCAACCAAAGGAGGCCGACACTGAGCGCTCCCCTCCCTCGGCCCACATCCAGCCGCGGGCCTGCTCCAGCCATTCCCTCCCCTGGACCCCACTCAGGGGCTCCCCCAGTTCCTTTCCGCCCTGGCCCGTTACCCCCTTTTCCCAGCAGCAGTGACTCTTTCGGAGCTCCTCCTCAAGTTCCCTCACGGCCTACAAGGGCCCCACCCAGTGTTCCAAGGTAAGTGTTTCTGTGCGCTTGACATTGGGTAGGGAATGCTCTTTGGTTCTCTTCTCATAGCAAGGCAGACAAAATTTGTTGAGGCAAAAAATTGCAAAGGTAGTATCCTACATGTTTGCAGTTTCACCCTGGAAGAGGATCACAGGAAAATTGCTGGGCCAGTGACACCATTTAAAAATCAATACATGGCCATAATAAACCTCTCCTTTCTCAACTGGCACAAACAAAATGGGATCAAAGAAAACTGGATCCAAATGAATGACAAGTTGGCAGCTGTTTGTAGAATTTGAGGGAGCACTTTGAAACAAGAGAGCCATGGCCGCCTGGATGGGAGCTGTGTGTTCACAGGTCAGACAGTGTCACCAACTAAGGCTCCGCCTTCTCTGTCACCAAAAGAATTTCAGAAAACCACTGACTTCAAGGAGTCTTATCCATCTGCCCGCTCAGCTTTGACCCTTAAACCTAACATGACTTAATGTAGGCGGAGTAAAAAATTCCTGCTGATTAAACCAGGATATTTTAACACAGACCTAATTGCTGTGTAGAGTCCCTAACTTTATTTGAGATTTGAGTAAAGCATTTTGGTATTTATAAGTAAGTCTCATGCCTAATGGAAAAAAAATAACTAATAAATGGAATTTGAAATATATTTACTTAGAGCAACACTCTCACCTTCATACATTCACAGGCAAAATATAAAGGTAAATGTTTAATTAAAAATTTTGAAAATAGAATTAGAGGGCCCTCCCTAGTGGCACAGTGGGTTAAAGTGCAGCACTAAGAAGCTAAAGCTACCTCTGCATGAGTTCGATCCCCACCTGCTCCAGAGGTGATCCACATGGCGCGGCAGACCTCTCCTGACCCACCCACTGCTCCCCTCAGCACTATACTTTGATGATCTGCCTGTTCTGCTCCCCACTCTGTCTCTGGTGAATCCTCTCACAGCTCCTGCACCTCTGGTCTGTACCCCAGTTCTGTATGCACAAATAAATAAATCTTAAAAAAAAAAGAAAGAAAGAAAATAGAATTAGATTTGTCAAATACAGATATCTCAAAAGGAAAGAAATTTAGCTCCTTTACAGAAAGTTCACATTTTAAAAACTTCCCTTCAGAGGATCAGGTATCTTTGCACTCCTTGAAGGAAAGCTTTACTCTTCTTGTATTGTAATTACGAGAAGTGACCCCACTCCCCAGGAAACTCAAGTCACCTCACTATCTGATGACAATGCAAATTGTCAAGAGACAATGCAAATTGTAAAGAGATAGGGCCTCTTAAACTAGTAAGCAAAAGGTGGTGTGGCAGGAACAGCAGGGATGTGGAATCAGAAGACCCAGTTTGCCACAAACCTTGGGCAATTCATTTAACTCCAGCTAGCAGCTGCTCCTCCTGGAAAAACAGACAAATTCAACAAAGTTGCCGCCCAATTCATGGGTAATGAAGTCATTGAAAGGGTTTGATCGACTGTGAAGCTTTGGTTGTTACTGTTATCATATTGGTCCTTATCAAACAGAAGGTTCTGTGCTCTCAAACCTATATAACTTGGTCTCTAAACTCAGTAGATTTGGCTTATAATTAACCTGAAACGGAGCTAAATTTCCAGTCATAATAGCAAACAATAGCTAATATTTATTGTGCTTACAATATATGCTATGGCCTGTTCCATGAATTTTGCAGGCATATTTTTAGTTTAATGCTCACAATCAGCCCAGGGAGAGAGGTTGTTATCCATTTTATAGATGAAGCACAAAAGTAAGTTGCCCAAGGCTACTTAACCAGGCCCCAGTGCAGCTGCACCTTTTAATCTCAAGAAGTCTGACTCCAGACAGAGACCAGTCTCCCATCCATAACACCAGGGTTTCTCAACCCTGATTTCAGTAAGTTTGATATTTGGGGTCGGGGGGGTGTGGAGAGAGGGGACTATCCTGTGCATTTACAAATGTGTAGCAGCATCCTAGTCCCTGCTCACTGGATGTCAGTTGCACCCTCTTAGTTGTGACCCCCAAAAATCTCTTAGACACTGCCATAGGGGGATGATGAGGGGGTATAAATTCCTCCTCCCCTTAGAACCACTGGGCCACAGTATTCAAAAGATTTTCCCTGTTAAAAAAAAAAAAAAAAGAAAACACACCATAAATGTCAGTGTTGAGCCTCAGTTAAAGCAAGATTGAATTACTGTTCTGGAAGCCTCAAATTGACTAGGAAAGCGTCAGCCTTTGTGCCAGGGAGGTATGGAGACACTGGAAAGGGTGTGAAGGGGGGAAGGGGGGGTCCGTGCAGGGTGCAGCAGTCTACTCTTTTGTCTGTTCAGCTGTAAGAAGGAGCCAGAGCAACCTGGTGTGCTTGTCCTGGGGAATGAACATGCATGTCTTGCCTGCTCGCTTGGCTGCTTTACCACTTGGTTTCAGATAAGCTGGCTTGCCAATACCCTTGGAGAAATCAATTGTTGAATGCTAAACTGATTTGTGAAGCAGGGTGGAGTGGTCCTTGGTATTGACAAAATCACACACAGAAAGTAGCCGAGCAGAAGCCGGTAGCCTTAAGCTAGAGTCACTGGATTTAACCTTGCCTGCACTGGGGAATTTACAGGACAACAGTTGTGTTATTCTGAATTTCTAGAATATTCTTAAGTTAGAGCCAGACTTAACTTGATCTGGCCTCGCAAGGAGTCTCAAATGTAAAACAGAAATGAGTTGCAAGTAAGAGGAAAGTTGGTTGTTTTGTGCTGAGCCTTCAAATTTCAGGGCCAGTTCAGCATCTTGGGAGGGAAATCCCTGGGGGGGAGGGGGGGAGGGGGTGTCACCTGAGAGAAAGCAAGAAAGACTCTGTCAGGATCCTTATGCTTATTAAAAGTTTAGCTTTAGATGGAGAATTCTGACCGCATAAAGTCTGTTTTTAATAAAAGCCAGAGCAGGAATCTTACCAAATGCAAGCCAGAAATGGGGTTTAAGATTTCAAAAAAAGAAAGAAAAAGAAAGAGAGACAAAGATAGAAAGACAGAAAAAAAAAAGCTAAGGGAAACTCTTGTTGAAACTTCACCTTGTTCTATTTATTTATATATTCTCTTTTCCCTCCGTGACTTGCCTCTATTTTCTCTATTAAAAACTTTTTTTTAAGTTGAAATGCCATTATCCATCATCTCCAGGAAAACAACCCTTAGCTTTCCGAGAAGGAAGTTTGATTTTTTTCAAGTTCTTTGCTTTCTTAAGGGCCCTTTCTCCTCTTTTATCTGAAACCAGAAACTCGTAACGTGACAAGACAGCGCAGGCCTTGTCCCGCCGGCTCCCTGTGGGCTTTAATATTACAAAGGCAGCAACTGAGCTGTCAGAGGTACAGGATTCTGCCGTTCAGCATGTGCTTGGACATAGTTTCCTCCTGGGTAATTCGTGACTTCGTTAGCAACTTAGGATCGTGACTTTCAAAGAGCACCTTTACTTTTTAGTTTAAACCTAATCAAAGTTAATGACAACACTCGCAATAATACAGTTACCAAGACCATTCTCTTTCCCAAAAAAACGCTATTATTATAATTATATCTTGTCATCCCAGTATAAAGGAAGAGAGAGGAAGGAGAGAAGCTGATAGAGTAAGTTTGGCCCAGTCCTTCTCAGCAGCTCAAGAAATGTTCTGGTTTGTGTGCTTAGAGCCTTTCGGTGAGGGAGCTAGAAGTATGACAAGCTCTGTGCCTGTCTTAATTAATTCCACCTGAACTAGAGGAGCTTCTTTATCCCAGAGAGACTCACCAGAATGGATGCTTCTGTCATGAGTTAGTTGAGCGTACACAAATCTGTGATTTGTGGAACATTTTCTATTGCCAGAATATTTGGATTGTCCCATCCCCTCTCACCCCTACTCAGCTTCTCTGAAGAGGCTAAAACTCTGTCTGAGAAACCCAGTGAGTGGTATTCTTGTTTTAGCCAGATGATCTTAAACAGACCGCTTTAGGGGCCCTGTTCTCTTACTTGAAGATTCTAATCTTCATCAAATACTAACTTTAGGACTGATGTAGCTATTTTCAGTTACAGCTTCTTAAAATTAGTTAATTGGGAATCACAGCCTTTGACATTAACAGAACAAATTAACTGAATCAGAGTGTGTTTTTCCTGGCAACAGCCGACTCTGGCATTATTTCACTCATTTTTCTTCTCTCCTTTCCTTGGACTAAGCTATTTTGCAACGGTCAAAAGGGGATAAGGGTGGGAGTAAGGGTCTCTTTCCAAGGAAAAGCAAGCTCATTTACCTCATCACCCAACTCTATGAAAAAAAATGTTGAAGACTGAAAGGACTTTGTTTTAACTACCCTTCTCACCAAGTCTGCTGGTACCTTTTAAAAATGGCAAAACTGTATCATGGGAAAGGATTTGCCCTTTGCACCGGCTCAGCCACAGGACAGAAATTCAATATGGAAACCAAGAAATTCTCCTACGAATGAATGTCTCATGAGCCCCATAATGGAACTGACGCCCCTCACTTCATAGATAGTGCAGGGTAGCATCAAGATTAACCTAGGGTTTCTTGTGGTTCTCTGATGGTGCAGGTCAATCGTGGTCTACTTTGAAAGTCTCATCACATCCCCATATTCTCAGTAGTTTATCATTAAACCAAGCACAGCAAAAGATACATAAACCTTTCTATATAAAGAGACCATCCATGCCCTCCTATTTTCTTCTTTAAAGAGGTGCAAGCCATTGGTTTTCTTTTTAATTTACTTTCTTCTTGTCTTAAATGTTTGATCTTATTTCCTGTTGTGCTCATTCTTTTATATATTTTACATGTTGATGTAATTCACAGTTGATTTAGGTCTTTGATTTGGACTTTCCAGCCAGTTCCCCTAACTTTAAGTGAAGATAAGCCCACAATACTTATGAGTATGTCTTTGCATCCCTAACATCAAGGTTTGGTGCCATGAAGGATGAAGCTGCAGAGCCCTGAAGTCGTGGGCTCAGGGTACAAGGACAATTAAACAACTTATGTGACTAGCCTGTGTCTGAGTCCCCTGAAA